TATTCCCCCCCCCCCCCCGAGTCATGTTCCCTGTCGATTTCCCCCTAGGAAATTATCCCCACTCCCTCATGAACTAAGCAGGTCTTTCTAACTCATAGCAGTTGAATCTTCATAACTAACTTTGTATTAACAAGCTTTTAATTTCACTATGTGGTAAGAAAACAATCAGACATTCCTTAACTAGTTAAAACGTAAAAGCTTTTGTTTCAAGTGTGTTGAAACATATTCTAGACCAGTGGTTCTAAACCTGGGTTCGATGAGTCAGTCTCAGGGGTTCGGCGAAGGTCAAATACAGTTTATAGTTTATATACACACCCGACACGTATGATTCGCGGCGGATTTTGTTAGTGTGGACTATAGAACTAGCGACAGAGGCTGTTATTTCAACACAGTCGTGTTGATGCACGTGCATTGCATTTTGTGTACAGTATAAATCTATATAGCCTGTTTTGAATTTGAAAAAAAGTCGCATTTAATGTTCCTATTAAAAGGAGTTAGGTGAATGCGCATATAAAGCTGATGTGGTTCGGTACCTCTAAAAGGTTAAGAACCAGAGTTTCTTCCAGGCAGAGCTCCCCCGAAGAAAGTCTACCGCCCCCCCCCCCCCCGCCCGATCGAAATGTAATTTATATAGAAAATATATACTTTTACCAGTGTCCGCCCCCGCCCCACCCCCCCCCCCTCCAAATATCAAGCGCTCCCCCCCCCCCCTTCCAGAGAAAAAAAGTCTGGAAGAAACAATGTTTAAGAACAATGGTTCTAGTGCGCCAAAAACAAAACTTGCAATACAAAGATAGCATAAAATTTAAAAAAAAAACTGAAGAAATTAGTATACCAAGTTTTAGGCCTACTCTACGATTTTTCTACACCTAATGAAAAGGCAAACACTTTCTGAAATCTTAAAAAAAAATCACTTCTGCTATATAATTCTTTTTCAATTGACCTTTCGATTCGCTTTAGGGATTTGTGTTCATATTTTCGTTCCTGATTTTTTTTTTTTTACTTTTTTGTCCCCACCTCTTAAAAAAAAAAACAACTCCACCGTGTTATTTGAGTAAAATGTCACAGAGTTCTAGAAATTCCTCATTCAGCGAACTTTAATCAGGAACTTTGTGGACAATGACGCAGATAGCCAACCGTACATAGCTAGATTTGCGGTTGCCCACAAAAAAATCTGGCAATGAAAAGAGAGGCGGATCGAGTATCGTATTATTTTGCCAGCTTGCCAAGCTAAAGACGAGTTGCGAATTGGGCCGCAAAAATGTTCCTTAAATAAATAAATTGTACAAAACGCGCAAATTGTACAAAAGCGCGAAAATCTGAATGTTAATAATAATTTCTTTATACTTTTAAAAAGAAAATTTTATCATAAAAAAATAAATTAGTTCAAGCTTTCAATACAGAGAAAATTACGCAGATACCGCCCCAAAGTGACGTCAATCATTTCTAGACGAGATTCACTAACCGCCCACAATCGTGTATGACGTCACAAAATTCCTCTCCATCCCAGAATGCACTTCTATACACACAGACAAACAATGTAAGAGCCCGAAAAAGACATTTTTTGCATCACATAACCAATTGGATACGGCAATACTCACATTAGCTCAACACTGCTGGGCAAAACGTAATCCAATTCACCGTTGTTTGAAGCAGGGGCGTAGCTGAGGTGGAGCAGTGGGAAGCAGAGGCGTAGCGACCCTTCCCGGCGCCCGGGGACAAACTTTCGATTTGCACCCCCCCCCCCCCCCTCGAACTTTTCATTTGCACCCCCCCCCTCAAACTTTCAATTTGGCGCCCCCCCCCCTTGAGGTCGGCGCCCGAGGACATATGTCCCCCCCCCCCGCCCCCCCCCCCCTCTCTACGCCTCTGGTGGGGAGCCCATCCTCTCCCTCCGTCTCTGCAGGGCACTTATTATTTTTTTTAATATAGAAACTAATGTTATACTGCGTGAGAAAGTTTTGTAAAAAGTACAGCTTCTGAAAAATTATGTTGCTTAAAATAACTTACGCAGTCAACTGGGTTAGGATTGGTGGTGGTTTATCATTAGTGGTATGGTATGATGTCTGTGTTGTATATAGAAATGTTAAAGAAAACTGCCATTTATGACTTTTATTTTTAATGTGTTCTTATTTATTTATTTATTTATTTAATTGCTAAATATTTGCCACTGACAATATGCAGATGGAAGGGTCAACACAGGTGACTTCCAAATTTTGTTTGTAATCTTATATTTTATCACAAAATAAAGCCATACACGCGTTTGAACCCCCGGGAAGATGACGCTTGATAGCTGGGGACTGGGGACAGTAACCCATCTAGGAGAGATAACGAAATCGAACAGGAGTGGAGTCCCTTTCTGCAGCTCCTTTGATACCGCCGATGCCAAGTTGTAGGCCTATAGCAGAGTTTCTTCCAGGCATCTCTTCGAAGAAAGTTTACCGCCCCCCACCCCCCCCCCCCCCCCCCCGAAAATTTCAAGTGCCCCTTCCCCCCCCCCCCCACCCCCGGAGAAAAAAGTCTGGAAGAAACACTGGCCTATAGTCACATAGTGTGAAGAGGGGGGGGGGGGGGTTATATATGGACAACATCTGACTCTTCTCAACATACTACCCATATAATCTGTTCGGAGATTTTGTGACGATGTGTTACGAGAAGGTTATTTTCGAAATTCTAGAAGTTATTTTGCATGTTTAATGACTTTTTGGTAAATTGTAGCGAACCGAATGTTGACCCATCCATAACCATAAAATGTTTTTCCTTAATTTGTTTTTAACATAGTATTAGGCCAAATTATTCTTTGAAAAACACTTCGCAATAAAAGATTGCTACTTATTGGAGTTTGTATCTCTAGATAATCTAGAATAAATAACACAGGTCATTAACTCGTTCTTCAACTAGTTAATACAGTGGTTCCCAACCTTTTTCGAGTGGCGACCCCCTTTTATAAAAAGTAAGTGACCCGCGACCCCCATAGAATTAAAAAGCCGAAATTAGTATGGAAATTAATAAGCACTAAAATAAGATTTTCTAGTAGACTTTCAATATAAACTACTCTTGATAACTGTTTTAATAGCATGAGTAAAATTGCATACTATTCACTAAACCTTCGTGGTTAAGTTTTTAATTTTAAAAAATTTTATAAACGCCAACCTATGTCATTATAATTATCTTAATTTTGATTTTAATCGAAGAATAGTGTTGAAAATATATTCTCGAAAAGTCAATCAATTTTACGTTTGGGTATGAATGGTGAATACTACACCAAAATTGTGCCTGCAGTTTTTCATCTTGCTCGAAATCATTCTGCAAATCAAAGAATTCATCTTGTAATTCATCGGGAATGCTGGCAACATCAAGGGAAGAAGAGAATGGGTAATGCGTAAATGCAGATTCTTCTTTTTTCAGCTCAGAGAAATAGCCATGCAGTTCGTTTTCAAGAGATTCAAGATGCCCAGAAGTCGCTTCTTTCAAACTTTTAATTATCTCACAATCAGATTCATCTACCACACCGCAGAGTTTCTCAAATTTACAATATTTCCACGATTTGGTTTCTTTACCGATTTTGCAGCTTTGATAAAAATGCCCCGAGATTATCATGGAAAGTTATAATATTCGTTCATTTTCCCTGAAGCTTAAGGTTAAGCTTATGTTCGAACACATCTGCTAGGTATGATACTCTCTCCAACCACTCTATGTCGTTTTAAGTCTTCTTTCCTTTGAACAATTTGATTTCAGATTTCAATTCAAAAACACAATTTACAACATTTCGTTTGACAGCCAGCGTACTGTAGTGTAGAAGAGCAGAACCTCGTGATCTATATTTTTTGCTCAGTTCTTTGAAGGCTCCAGATTTTATATAATTTACGACCTATACTAGCAACGGACTCTTGATGTCGATTGGATAGGGTAGTGGTTAGGGAGCTAAATCTTTTCTGTTTTCTGAAAGCCCGATTTTGAGCTAAACATAGATGGCGCACCATCCGTACAAACCCCCACAGCCGTTCTAACCCATTTTAATCATCCAGTTTTTAAAAAAAGGTATTTATTTTCTCCATGCTATCTTCACAAAATAGCAACTCTTCTTTGCTATCATCCGCATGAATATAGACACAGACCAGCAACTGCAACACGAACTCACGTCTGTTGATTTATCAACTTGAAAAGCAAACAATGGTGAAAGCTTAATTTCAATAAAAATGTGTTATTTAACATTTACGTACATGCAGCTTTTGATGAGATTTTCTCCTATTTTTTTTTTTATTATTATTTTTTTTTTTGCTAGGCATTTTCTATCGCGACTTTATTTGATGCTTGCACTAATGCTGGTGAAAACTTCCTGTTCGATCAAGTTTCTGGCGTTTGCAACTAGCTTCTTACCGACGAAAGAATTCCATATCTTTTTTGGTGTGTTCCGGTGAAGATTTCATAGATTCGTGACTGAGAACAACTTTGTACAGTGCGATTTGTTTCTTCTCTATTACATTTCCAGTGATGTTAATGAAGTCGAATTTCAAAAATTATTCTAAATATGTATGTTTTGTTTCAAATTACTAAAGTTTAGTATACCAGTTGGCGACCCCCCAGAAAGACCTTCGCGACCCCCCAGGGGGTCGCGACCCACAGGTTGGGAACCCGTGAGTTAATAGGTGAAAAGATTTTTTAGGTCGCTTTGAGAAAACTGCCGATCTAGAAATTCTAGATCTGTTTTTTGAAAAAAAAATACTCATAAGAGGAATAACATGATCTAGAAATCTATACATTTTTTAAAGAACGATTTATCTTTTATATAGGGTGGCGGAGATGTTGTTTTCCGTTTGTTTTCATAATTTTCCTCCCTTCAGTTTTTCCTCGTTTTTATTCGTTTCTTCAATAATAATAACAATAGCACTTTTTTCAAATCCAAAGACAGCTGACTTCCGGTTACATCTCTTTACTAGTTCTGTTTACAGTTCTAAAAATCCTATGTTTATTCTTGTCTCATTAATTCTGTTTTAGCCATGGGAGAGAGAGGCAAAATGAAAGTTTTAGAAACTAGCACTGCTACTGTGAAAATGACAAGTGGTGTTCCATTCACCAGTGGTAAAATGTCTGACTCTTCAGATGATGAAGAAATCGAAAGTAATTCACTACCGCACTCGTTGTTGACGCAAACACAGCCAGTTGAGTCAGGCAGTACGGACAATGACATCATCGATAATCTACGCCGTTTCGACAGTGGTTCTATTATTTATGGCAACGTACATAATAACCAAAATATATTAAATAACAATAATGGGGTAAAACCTGTGAAAGAAAAGATTGCTGTTCTAGAAGATGATGAACTGCATTCTGTAACAAAGCAAAATGTTTTTCAAACTCCCACTCCCAGCAAATTTATTAGTGATTATGATATTTCTAGTAGTACTACTGGTGTAAGTGCAGAAGGAGGTGTACAAGTAAATATAATAACTAACACAGAATCATATGAAAATGACATAAAGAATAATATATCAAAACCTCAACCTATACATTCTCATCATTCTGGTAAAACATTTTCAAGTAGGCCTAATGATAAAAAAAGTGATAAAGAAAATTCCAAAAGTAGACGTTCCAATAGCCCAGCATCTAGCCATAATCATAGTTCATCAGAATTCACTGTCAAAGAGCAAAATGTATTACCTAGATTATCTACGTCGTTGGAAAATAAAAAGGTGAGCTTAAGTTAAGTTTACCACTCATAAATGTTAAAATATTACTTATTTACATTCCTTTTACCTCATTTACATTATAAGTATCTTTTCCCTTAACTTTTTTTAATGATTGCTATTGTGCCTGCAGCCTCAAGCATATTCATATATGTATTTTTTGGACATACTTCTAACAAATCTAGAGAAGAACTGACTCTAATAACTATTTATACTTAAAAGAGAGTTTAAAAACATATACATGCATAATATCATATACAGCATGTTTTAAGGTTTGTTGAATGTTAAGATTAATTTCTTATGTCTGAACTGTAAATTTCACAAAAAATGTCTAAATACAGAAAGGGGTCTTAAATAGAAATGCAAGCACAGCCTCATGTAGTGCATTGTGTGAATCACAGAGGGAAAATGTTCGTGAAAACTATGCACAGAGTCGATTCAACCCATTTAACAAACACAATGACCTTAGCGTGGAAGAGGACCATTTCTCTGATGGGATGGAAAACTACTTCAGGGTGGACAGACATTCTTCAAACAGTACGAAATCTTGTAAGTTTGTTGATCATTTGCTTTATCTAACACATTGCATAGAAGGTTCATTTCTATCTAGTACTGTTACCATACTGTTACCATGTTAAAAAATATTATTATGAGAGTGGATAATGTCACATTTTGTTCCACACCTATTAAAAGATACTTGAAAAGGTCTGCATTATTCAAATTTCAAAAACAAATTCAAAATATAAAAAAAATTAGACTAAAATTTAGCCATTATTGAAACTCTGAAATATTTTATGTTACACTATTTAGATGTGTGTTGCATTTTTCCATAGCCTCACAAGGAGGGGACTGGTGGCAAGAAGCTAACAAGTCTGATGTGACTTTTGCTGAGTTAGGGCTCTCAGAAGATCATTTCTCTCACCCTCAGGTCAGTTACATCTAAGTTGTATTTTTTTGTTTCATTTGTTTTGTGTATTATCTCTCAGCCCACTAAGTTTTATTTTGTTTCTTTTTCTTTTGTTGTAGTTTTTTAAAACTTTCATCAACTCTCTCACCCTCAGTTCAGTTAGTTATTTCCAAGTTCCATAATTCGTTCAGATTTTTTTTTTAAACTTTATTATTTTGTATAAACTTTCATAATATCTCTCAGCCCAGTTACATCAAAGTTTCTTTTTTATTCTTTTTCTTTTGCTGTAGTTTGTAAAAACTTTCATCAGTTCTCTCAACCTCAGTCAGTTACATCTGTTTTTCTAATGTTGTGTGTAATATATCTATAAGCTTCAAAACATAAGCAATACACTATTTATAGACTCATTAAATGAGGATTTGAAACATCACTCTGAATTCTAAAAACTTTATACTTAATATTGCTTACAACATTATTGCTCATGTTATCATTGTTATGTATCTCTTTTTGCAACTTGGTGCCATTTGATTTGTTAGCATTGTACACAAAGGGATTGACAAAACAGTACAATATCCAAAAACCACTGACTAAATTTTTATTTGTCTACCTATAAGAAATCATGGATAGTTTTTAGATGAGCTTCGGAATTATATGTTTTAGCAATTACTGCTCAACTACACTCTTTATTACATATTTTAAACTGTTTGGTTGTTTTTATTTCTTTGCCATACCTTAAGTGATTATTTATTTTACATAAACCATGTTGAAACCATAATGAAACCACATGGCTATTTTGGACTTTTTATTAGTATCTTTAGATTTATTACCATTTTTATTAATTCTACCCAAGTTCTCACCTTTTTTAATATCTTTAGCCAGTAGTTTGTTTTTATGCCATGACATATCATCAGTGTTTATTTATGTTATACACCAGTTCATACAATGCAATCATGTTGAACCCAAAGGGTCATTTTGGACTAATTTAAATCTTTACATAACAGGTTGCTTTTATTGCCATGGTGTCAAGCGTTTTTTTTTATTCTACACAAGTTCTCACTTTATTTAATCTCTTTAGCTAATAGTTTGATTTTATTGCCATGACATATCATCAGTGTTTTCTTATGTGTACACCAATTCATACAATGCAATCATGTTGAACCCACAGGGCCATTTTGGACTGAGCAGCACAGAGGAGCTGGAGCTGGCCATAGAGAACTGTAAGGAGATGATCAAAGAGTCTCAGGTTGGCTCAGACAAGCAGAAGAACCTTGTCCTCAAGCTGGTGCAGCTCAGGATCAAACTTCATGAAGTCAAGGTATCACATTCAGGAGTTAATTCTTCTTTGCTTGTTAATTTACACCCACTTTTTTTATAACAATCTATTTGTTTGGGTTTTTTAAATTATACAGTTACATTATTCCCAAACACCATTAGATTTATTGAAACTACTCTTTGTTTAGTCCTACACCATGTAATTTTTTTTATGACATTATTCTTTCATTATGCCGTATCATTGTTTTTATTAATTATGCCACTAATTTTCCAAGAAAAAATCCTTGGGTAATTTATTTTAAATTTGCACTGTAGTTGTTAGATATTAAATGTTGTTGTTTTTTTTTTTTTAAAGTTATCATTTACAATTTTAAATTCTTTGTTTTTTTTATTTTAGACAGTAATTTTGTCTGAATTTCATAAAGGATTATAACAAACAAAATACAAATCAATTATTTTCACTTCATAAACTGAAGTATTATTTGTAATAATTAAAAAAAATTACCCATCAATTAATTATTTTGATCCTAATTCACGCTTAGTTTTCATGTGTTAAAAAGTGTTGAATATATAAAGTATTTAGAACCACTGTTAGATGTTGATATTGATTATTGTAACAGGTGCGCATACCTAATCATAAACTTCAAAAAATTTGTGTAGTCATCTAGGCCTAAGTGACCAGAATGTTATAAAAAAAATTCATTGATTATTTAAAGTAACCTTGTAACACAGTAAGATTTTTAATATTTCTGTTGGTAAAAATGACATTTTGTGCCTTTTAATTCTTTAAATTTCAGCACTGAATTCAATCTGTTATTTTGAATAGGCCTACATGTTAATCTGTCTATGTTAAGATTTGCTTGACAACTTTTAATCTGATTATTATTTTATGATTTAGTACTTAATTAATAAATTTGTTTTATAATTGACCCTTCTTTATTACATACCAGTGGGAAAAACAATATTTCTTTATTGTGTTTAGGTGTAAAATAATTTGATATTCACTCTGATTTTAACTGTATACAATTAATTATATTTGTTTTATTTTCCTACAACAGGATTATCCAAAACAAACGCCATTTGCCCACACTGATGATATATGTATACCATTTTTTATTTTTGTTTTGTTTCCCACACTAGAAACATCCAGAACAAGTTCCTGTTGTCCACACTAATCATAACTGTATACAATTGATTATATTTGTTTTGTGTTCTCACACCAGGAAGGACCAGAACAAGTTCCTGTTGTCCACACTAATCATAACTGTATACAATTGATTATATTTGTTTTGTGTTCTCACACCAGGAAGGACCAGAACAAGTTCCTGTTGTCCACACTAATCATAACTGTATACAATTGATTATATTTGTTTTGTGTTCTCACACCAGGAAGGACCAGAACAAGTTCCTGTTGTCCACACTAATCATAACTGTATACAATTGATTATATTTGTTTTGTGTTCTCACACCAGGAAGGACCAGAACAAGTTCCTGTTGTCCACACTAATCATAACTGTATACAATTGATTATATTTGTTTTGTGTTCTCACACCAGGAAGGACCAGAACAAGTTCCTGTTGTCCACACTAATCATAACTGTATACAATTGATTATATTTGTTTTGTGTTCTCACACCAGGAAGGACCAGAACAAGTTCCTGTTGTCCACACTAATCATAACTGTATACAATTGATTATATTTGTTTTGTGTTCTCACACCAGGAAGGACCAGAACAAGTTCCTGTTGTCCACACTAATCATAACTGTATACAATTGATTATATTTGTTTTGTGTTCTCACACCAGGAAGGACCAGAACAAGTTCCTGTTGTCCACACTAATCATAACTGTATACAATTGATTATATTTGTTTTGTGTTCTCACACCAGGAAGGACCAGAACAAGTTCCTGTTGTCCACACTAATCATAACTGTATACAATTGATTATATTTGTTTTGTGTTCTCACACCAGGAAGGACCAGAACAAGTTCCTGTTGTCCACACTAATCATAACTGTATACAATTGATTATATTTGTTTTGTGTTCTCACACCAGGAAGGACCAGAACAAGTTCCTGTTGCACTGAACATAACTGTATACAATTGATTATATTTGTTTTGTTTCCCACACCAGGAAGGTCCAGAACAAGTTCCAGATGATGTCAAGGTCATCATGTCCCATAAGATGATGTTGAAGACCAGTCGCACCAGTAAATATTACTGTGAAAAATGTAACGGAGCAATCTGGGGCATGCTTCAAAGATGGTACAGGTGCACTGGTGAGGTCAAAGTTCATTATGTTTATACAATAAGCATTATGACAATCGTATTGCATTTGTGTTGTTGTTTTTTAAAAGAAAATAGACAAATTGGTCTGTTTGATTCTATATTTTCTTGCAAAGTTCTGTTAGGTTATTTATTTTATAACAAATAGCAGACTGTTGATATATTAGCATATTACTAATCCTTCTGGTTTGCCCATTGCACTGGATTGAAAAATGCGCAAAGAATTCATTGTAAATATTCTTGAAAAGATTCTATTAGGTTATTAAATTTAAGAACTAATAGGAGACATAATCAATGTTCATTAATTACATTTTCTTGTAAAGGTTTGATCAGAGTGGTTTGATCTAAGTGAGCTTATAAAAATCAAATATTTCTTTAAAAAAAAATGATGTGAGTTGATCTTGGTTATTTAGTTTTGAGTTAACTTCATCTGGTTGTTATCCCCAGAATGTGGCTACAGGTGCCATGAAAAATGTCTACAACAGATCCTCAGGACATGTGCTAAAGCTAAGGTCAGTTTGGCTGTAAAGCTAAGGTCAGTTTGGTTGTAAAGCTAAGGTCAGTTTGGCAGTAAAGCTAAGGTCAGTTTGGTTGTAAAGCTAAGGTCAGTTTGGTTGTAAAGCTAAGGTCAGTTTGGTTGTAAAGCTAAGGTCAGTTTGTCTGTAAAGCTAAGGTCAGTTTGGCTGTAAAGCTAAGGTCAGTTTGGTTGTAAAGCTAAGGTCAGTTTGGCTGTAAAGCTAAGGTCAGTTTGGCTGTAAAGCTAAGGTCAGTTTGGATGTAAAGCTAAGGTCAGTTTGGATGTAAAGCTAAGGTCAGTTCACCTTTAAAGCTAGGGTCAGTTTGGCTGTAAAGCTAGGGTCAGTTTGGCTGTAAAGCTAAGGTCATTTTGGTTGTAAAGCTAAGGTCAGTTTGGTTGTAAAGGTAAGGTCAGTTTGGCTGTAAAGCTAAGGATAGTTTACTGATAAATTAAGGTCAGTTTGCCTTTAAAGCCAATGTCAGTTCACTTTTAAAGGTCAGTTTGCCGCTAAAGCTAAGGTCACTTCACCTTTAAAGCTAGGGTCTGTTTATTGATAAAGTTAAGGTCAGTTCACCTTTGCTATAAATGCTGAAATACGATTGTCTTTGAATCTGAGCTAGCTTTAAAATTTTGAGTATAAACTAAATTGAAGGACATATGGCTCATTTATTTATTTTCTAATTCTAAACATCAAATTTTGTGGTAACAGGTCCTGGAGGATCCAACTCTTATCATGGAACTGTGTCCTACTGACCCGAATGGCTTGACCAATCAAAACTTCCGATGCTGGGAGTGTAGGACGTCAATTTCATACAGTAAGTTACTTTATTTTATCAGGAGTATAAAGTAATTATAATTTAAGTAAGTAATCGTATTTTATCATGGGTATGAAAGAATTATAATTTCATTAACCCCAGAAATTCTTTTGTCTTAAATCATTTAACCTTGTTTGCATATCATCTCAAAATATTTCAGTCTTATCATCATTTTCTTTTAAAGTAGATTTGAGAAACAGTTGTAAAATAACCATCAAGTTAATTTAGACCAATATTTTCTAGTTCAAACTGCAGTTTTTGCTTGATTACTGAATGATAAGATTAGAAGTTATATTAAAATATTATCTGTCAAATTAGTATAAATATTCTTATAAATTCTTCTCAACACAGATTATGTTGAAATATTTCTTTGTAAGATTGTTAATTTAATCCATAATTAACATGAGGTACAGTTGGTGTGGGCTGCAGCCTGGTGTGGATGTTGAATTACGTTACATAAAGTGGTCATCAGATAGTTCGTCAAAGTAGTTTTAATTGAGATTGATTTCCTTAAGTGTCCCTAATTTTGAAAAATGAATTTACTTTTTTCCCCTCCACAAAGAGAAATCAAGAAAATTATTTTATTTATTTAATTTTTTTTTCTTCTTCAGAGCCGGGCGGTCTTGAACCTAGGATGTGTGACTACACAGGTCGCTACTACTGTGAACTGTGTCACTGGAATGACACATTTGTTATACCTGCCAGGGTCCTCCATAACTGGGACTTCAAACCACAGAAGGTGAGGCTGGTTGGCCTTTGACCTCTGACCTGCACTGTCCCTCTAACCTTTGGTTACTAACTGCCTATATGAAACAAAGCCACAATGGCCACCATGGTCACTTGCCTACTGTTGTAACCATTAAAAAATAAAATTCTTTTATTATTACCTCTGAATTGAACTTGTAAAATCAAAATGCCACTATTGACCCTAAAGCTCTACTGCATTGATATCTTTCTTAATGAATGTTTACTGTTGTGATGCAGACCTTAATTATCAAATAGAAAGTTTTATATAAGAGCTAGTATAGGGTATGTTAAAAGTAATATACCATATTATATACCTGATGGCCTGTTGGACTTATGTAGTTCATCTATTTCTGTGACTTATGTATATGTAGAGATTGTTTGGTCAGTTCTATGTCCAACTATCTTTTTTTTCCTAATACTCAACTCATGTACCCATCAGAGTGAAGCATCATCATCCTCATCTTTTCCCATTTGTGCCCAAGCCCAAAACACTTGGGGCAGATGAAATAGAGTTCATCTGCTTCAGAGACATCGGCATATGAAGGGTCAGCACTATGCCCAGACCCCTTTGTTTCCCGAATGTGAGGTAGTTACCCATCTGACCTGGGTGGACTCAGGGACGGTCTACTGACTTGAACCCGGATTAGAACTCGAGACTTTCGGGTTAGTAGTCTAGCTCTCTACCGCTAGGCCACGCCGTCCCAGTATGAAGCATAATCAGGTCGTTCTGATCACTAACTCAGGAATCCTAGACTTTTGGGTTAGTTGTCTAGCTCTCTACTGCTAGGCCATGCCATCCCAGAGTGAAGCATACTAAGGTCGTCCTGCTGACTTGAACTCAGGAACCCAATACTTTTGGATTAGCCATCACATGCTATGCCACTGATTCACCCTAACCCTTCTAACTTTGCAATTTTTTCTTCTAAAACTATAGGTCTGTCGAGCATCCAAACAGTTTCTTAGACTGATGATGAAAAAAGCTGTCATTCGTATCCAAGACATCAACCCTATGTTGTTTGTGTATGTGAACCAGTTGAATGAAATTAAGGTAAGCACAGTCTCATTACATCATAAATTTGGTTAGTTTATAGTGGAAATTGTGAAGGTTATCTTAGCTCAGCAATACTGCAACTTCATAGTTAACCATTGTTTTTCTGTATAATTTAATGATTGATGTTTATATTGTTTACACGGGGAAGATGTTTACCTTGTATGACATATACCACAAATGTTACCTATGCCATACATTGATTGGCTTATGATGTATATGTAATCTAGTGATTACCCATATGTAATATGCTGTACAGTGTTTTTATTATGTCATAAATCATATGTTAATGGCCTAACACAAAATGAATTACCTTACTTGCAGTATGAAAATACTTATTTGTACTGTAAAATAGCATAATTATGTTATAAAATATACTTAAAATATTTACAATTATTGCAATTATTTTACATCTAAATACACAGTCCAGAACTTACTTTGTGGTCTGCATATGAAACTGACCTTACTTGTATGTCATAAGATAATTAATCTACTTCACAGTAATCTACGTGTCATATATTATGTAACCTTAGTACCTGTATAGTCTGATTTACTGTATAAAAATATGCCCAATACGTCAATACTAATGGTGCAGATGAAGTAGAGTAAATTGATTTCAATGACTTCGGCATAAAGGTAGAAAATGTCAACTATGCTCAGCCACTATTTTTCCCTAACATGTGTCAGGTACTCATCAGAGCTGTGTAGACTCAGGCCATATGTCAGTTGGTGCAGAATATGTGTCTCTTATGGTGTATGAATGTCACCCTACATGCCATTTATGCTGTAGGACAATGACATGTCTTATAATGTGTTTTGCAAATGTCACCAGAAACTAAGAGAGGAGATGATGATCATGAAGAAATATATTGTGTCCTGTATCAGTGCCATGGCTGCCAAGTTGCTGCTGTTGTTGGAGTCTAGACAACATTTTGTTGAGAGCTCTGACAGGTATTCTATGCAGGTGGGTCATCTTAGGGGACATGAGAGGGGGTCCTGTATCAGTGCTATGGCTGCTAAGTTGCTGTTGTTGTTGGAGTCTAGACAACATTTTGTTGAGAGCTCCGACAGGTATTCTATGCAGGTGGGTCATCTTAGGGGACATGAGAGGGGGTCCTGTATCAGTGCTATGGCTGCTAAGTTGCTGTTGTTGTTGGAGTCTAGACAACATTTTGTTGAGAGCTCTGACAGGTATTCTATGCAGGTGGGTCATGATTGGGGGACATGAGGGGGGTCATCTTAGGGGACATGAGAGGGGGTCCTGTATCAGTGCCATGGCTGCTAAGTTGCTGCTGTTGTTGGAGTCTAGACAACATTTTGTTTAGAGCTCTGACAGGTATTCTATGCAGGTGGGTCGTCATAGGGGACATGAGGGGGGGTCATCTTAGGGGGACATGAGGGGGGGTCCTGTATCAGTGCTATGGCTGCTAAGTTGCTGCTGTTGTTGGAGTCTAGACAACATTTTGTTGAGAGCTCCGACAGGTATTCTATGCAGGTGGGTCATCATAGGGGACATGAGGGGGTCATCTTAGGGGGACATGAGAGGGGGTCATCTTAGGGGACATGAGGGGGGTTATCTTAGGGGACATGGGGGGTCATCTTAGGGGGACATGAGAGGTGGTCCTGTATCAGTGCCATGGCTGCCAAGTTGCTGTTGTTGTTGGAGTCTAGACAACATTTTGTTGAGAGCTCCGACAGGTATTCTATGCAGGTGGGTCATCATTGGGGGACATGAGGGGGGTCATCTTAGGGGGACATGAGGGGGGTCATCATAGGGGACATGAGAGGGGGTCCTGTATCAGTGCTATGGCTGCTAAGTGGCTGTTGTTGTTGGAGTCTAGACAACATTTTGTTGAGAGCTCCGACAGGTATTCTATGCAGGTGGGTCATCATTGGGGGACATGAGGGGGGTCATCTTAGGGGGACATGAGGGGGGTCATCATAGGGGACATGAGAGGGGGTCCTGTATCAGTGCTATGGCTGCTAAGTGGCTGTTGTTGTTGGAGTCTAGACAACATTTTGTTGAGAGCTCTGACAGGTATTCCATGCAGGTGGGTCCATCATAGGGGACGAGGGGGGTCATCTTAGGGGGACATGAGGGGGGTCATCTTAGGGGGACATGAAGGGGGTCATCTTAGGGGGACATGAGGGGGGTCATCTTAGGGGGACATGAGGGGGGTCATCTTAGGGGGACATGGAGGTGGGTCATCTTAGGGGGACATAAGGGGGGTCATCTTAGCGGGACATGAGGGGGGTCATCTTAGGGGGGCATTGAGGTGGGTCATCTTAGGGGGACATGAGGGGGGTCATCATAGGGGGACATGGAGGTGGGTCATCTTAGGGGGACATGGAGGTGGGTCATCTTAGAGGGACATTGAGGTGGGTCATCTTAGGGGGACATGAGGGGGGTCATCATAGGGGACATGGAGGTGGGTCATCTTAGGGGGACATGGAGGTGGGTCATCTTAGGGGGACATGGAGGTGGGTCATCTTAGGGGGACATGGAGGTGGGTCATCTTAGGGGACATTCAGGTGGGTCATCTTAGGGGGACATGGAGGTGGGTATATATGATATAAACAGGTGGGTCATCAATTATAATACATGATTTTTAAATAGAACGTACATCCCTTTACATCATACATTTAACAAACAAAATATGTGACATAATGCTTTAGAAAACAAATAGAAATGTTATTAGCCCTTAGTAACTAGTACTGGTGTGCTGTTGTAGGACCTGTTGGATGCTGAGGATGTGTTGTTACCTGAGCTGACCAACATACACATGAGATGGGCACAGCACATCAAGGTTGATTGTGAGGTCAGTCTGGACATGCCACTACATATATTTGATGCACTTGAAAAAAAATCTACAAAATTGTCTTTTAAATTGATTTTTACTTTTTCGTATATACGAAGTATAGAGAAAGTCTTGTAACCGTGCAAAAAAAAAAAAATCGAGATTTTTACAAATCTCGACGTTTTACACCTCACTGATACGGAATAACATAATTTTGCAATCTTGTCCGTATGTCTGTGTGTCTGTCTGTGTGTCTGTCTGTCTGTGTGTAAACACGATAACTTGAGTACCGTTACAGCTAGGTTGATGAAATTTTATATATAAGTATTTTATCAAAATCGTAGATCCTGATCAACTATTGAGCGATTTCCGATAACCGGAAGTGGTACTTTTTCTACTTTGAATTTTTCAAAAGCCTATAACTTGAGTACTATTTCAGATAGATAAATGAAATTTCACATGTAAGTAAAAGATCTAATTCTCTACCTTCTGTTAAATTTTGAGTAATTTCCGTTGACCGGAAGTACTAATTTACGCTATTTCCGATTTCTCAAAAAACGCATGTAAATTTTAAAAGTACTAATAATATTTGCGCACTATTATGCACATTTTGTTTTGGCGGTCGCTTGGTGCGCAATTCTTTTTTCTATGAGATTCTATTCTATTTTTACAAGCTTTTATTTAACTCACTTCCTCGTCAGTCTGTCGTCAGTCTGTCTAGACGGAAACGCAGGAGTGAAAATTCGGACAGTTCTACTTGACCGATACGATTCACAGTTGGCACGTGGGTCAAGACATGAAGACAATGCAATCTGAAACTAAATTTGACTTAATTGGATGCTTAATTAATTTTTTATGAATTAATAAAAATTTGGACCGAATTAGTAGGCATGTCTAGCCAACCACACCACACGCGTCATCACCTTCAATAGCTGCGCCATCACGTAATGTTCAGTAGGCGCGCAATGGTTTTTAGTCATGTAACTCTATTGTAAATAAAACATGTAAAGTACTGAAAAAAAAATTCATAAAAAACGTTTTAATAACAAGCTTGTATGTAATGATGCACTAAAAAGTAGAAAATAAATTATAGACTACTATTTAAATAACTATAAAGAAAAGCGTGGGTGTCTTCCTTAACATTAGTAAAGGTATCCAATAGATACTAAAGTTTAAGTAATTGAAAATCATGTCTATATTCCAAGTTATATAAGAATATTTGAGAAAGTTTAGGGGAGATCACTCCCGGTTTATTTTGTTTTGAATTTTGTAGTGTTTGAAGGAAAGTCTCCATTGTGTAATATTTTTTTAAATGTTTTTAATTTTTTAATTTTGTTTTTTGAATGACATAAGTACTTATTTATTATTTATACATTTTAATAGATTGAATACTTTAGAATTTTTATGATCTCTAATATGAGTAATTTTTCTAATATGTTCAGCTGTGTCAGGGGAGAGGATTCTGTTGTGAACTGTGCCAAGAAAAAGAGGTGTTGTTTCCCTTTGACAACATAGCAGTTGTCTGTCCCAAGTGCTCAGCAGTTTCACACAGGTAATTTTGTTTTTACATATTTTGTTTTTCTAAATATCATTCTTGAATCCATTGTTACTTCAAGTTACAGGAAACTGTAATTATAAACTGATTTCTTAACAACCTTTTCTTTTACCTTTATAGCTTGGCATTTAATAATATTATGTACTGTAAATTGAAGTAGTTTTATTACTGATTTTCACTTCTTCTTAAAATTATTTTACTTAACATAATGGTAGAATATTTTTTTAATATGGACCAAGAACTGGTTTGTGTATTGTTAGTAATTAAATTTGAGAAAAAAGTATTTGGTTTTCCTGCCCATGATAACAAAGTTAGACAGACAAATTTTAATTTGAAAAAAAAAACAGCCTTCATTAGTCCATTTTGATTTTTTAAATTAATTAATAAAAAATTGCTATTATAACAAGCTTATATAATATATAAAAAAGAAGAGAATAAATTATTTTCTTAAATAACAACGCCCTACTATTTAAATAACTATCAAGAAAATTTTGTGGGTTTTTTTTATCTTAAACTCAATAAATGTTTTCATTGACGTGTATTTTTCAAAGGGACTTTGTAAACATTTTTATACATCAAGGCTTTAGAGACAAATCATTATGTTTTTTTCCCAGAAGTTTAATCAATTTTATAAAGGCATGCTTATTGTGTCTTCTTCTGTTTTAACTCAGGATTCATTTTTTTTTAAAGTTATTTAAAAGCTTTTTAAAATGTTATGTTCATTTCATTTTCACCGTCATATTTCATTGGTAGAAAAAAGAATATGAATCATTTTGGTAAAATTATTTTAAAAATTTGTAAGATACAATATTCATTTCACCATCAAACTAGATTGATAGGAAAAAAATATTATTCCTCATTTTGGTCAAATGGTTTTTAAAATGAATTTCAGGCATTGTTTTGCAAAACGGAATATGTGCCCCCGCTGTGAGAGGAGAGAGAAAAGACAGGCTGTACAGTAATGACTCCATGTAATGACTCCATGTAACGACTCCATGTCTGACTCTGTGCCATTACAAATCTGATCTAGTCTTGTACTGGTGGTGGTGTAGGTATTTTGTCTGAAACGGCCCTTTTAGAAGACAGTTTTAACAAAAAATGGACAACAGTTTGTTTTATAAGCTGCTATGTTATTTGACAAAAATATTTTATTAAAACTTAGGGATGTTGTGAAATCATTAACCTCTTATCCATTATTTAATACAGCTGTTCACAAAAGTAACTTTTCTCACATAGGCTAGTTATCTGTCCAATCAAATGGCTTTTAACTTCTGGTCACCTGTCCAATCAAATTGCTTTTAACTTCTGGTCGCCTGTCCAATCGAATTGCTTTTAACTTCTGGTCACCCTGTCCAATCAAACTTTTTCATATCTAGTCTGTTGTCCAATCAAACTATTTTTCTCATAAGGTCAGCTGTCCATAAATAAAGTTATCTTGTTTGATCAGGCTTTTCACACACAAAAATTTTTCTTATCAGGACCAAAACTTTCCACCATGTCCCAGTTTAAGATCATTGTCATTGTTACCTATGAGTTAAAAAGATTAATAAGCAATTGGTAGTATTTCCATGAGATTTGTCTCAAGTATTTTATCTTTTTCTAGCCCTACTTAAACCATAAGGTCATGCCTGGAGTAAATCAGCGTTTTAAAATCCTAATTTGGCAGTGTTAAGGTTAACGACTGTCCTGAATTCGTAATCCTTTGATAAATACATAGTTATAAAACACTATGTTATATTAGATGGGATATCGTGGCCTAGGGGTAGCATGCTAGATCGTAACCCAAAAGTCATGAGTTAAGATCCTAGTTCAAATCAGTAGATTGTCCTTGTCCATCCAGCTCTGATGCCTACCTACCTAATATTACGGAAAGTAAAGGCGGCTGGGCATAGTGCTGACCTTACTATTCCTTATTGGACAGAAGGCACAGAAACAGGTTAACTCTACTTCACTTGCCCCATGGTTCATAAAGAAAACTTTACTTACCTTAGGTTGTATTAAATATGTATATATAATGCCAGTAAAATACTCTGCTCAGCTAGAAGGCTAGTGATTATCATATTACAAACTATTCATTCAATACATTTTTTTTAATAGCTTGCTTTAAGATTATTTTAGCCAGGTTATTTTAATCTATTTAAAATGTTCATTAAAAGATTTAATTTGATTAACATGGAAATAGATGCTAATATAACTTTAAAAGGGTAATCTATCGATTTAGGTACGTAAAATCGCCTGCGGCTAGTAATGTACGATAAAGTTAACTCATTGTCAAGGCTTTAATAGAAGTATATTGTGATATATTTGTGTCAAATATTATAGATAAATAAATAATAAACCTAAATCAATGGCTAAATATATTAATATAGTTAGGAAATTAACTTTAAACAGCAGTGTTTGCGAGCAGGATTTGCTATATAAAAAGCGGCCATCTGTAAGTTAGAGTGGCTTCCCCTGAATCTTGCGCTATAAGTTTACAATTAAAAAAAAATAAACAAGATGGCTGCTATTGTAAATGAGCATGATTGCATCTGTTGGAAACACCGCTAGTCTTCAATTATTACTGAAAAGTTTTAATTCAGTTATTTAAAACAGGTACATAAATGAAACAAGGAAACATTTTTATATTTTTCAAAACATAAATCCTCCTCAAAATGTGAAATAATTATTAAAATTTAAGGGGTCACCTGTTTTTCACATTACTAGTCGCGGGCGGTTTTATGTACCTAAAACAATAGAGTACCCTTTAAAAGTTTAAAAATCTAAACAGTTCTTCACAGTTTCTGCATTACGAGATGTACCTTAATTAAGTTAAATTAATTACCATTAGTAATGCAGTTAAATAAGGGTAGTTGTTGATGTTTGTCTGTTAAGAAAGCTTGTCTGTGTTATGTAATGAAAGCATTAAACATTGGGAAACTTAGCAATATCTTTTTACCACCAATTGCCTGTTTAGTATACTCAGAGTTATCCACTCATTGCGTGCCTTAGTGCAATAAGTGTAAATCATCTTGGATGTATTTATTCCAGTTCACAGCAGTCATGCTTCTGCTTCCTAGTCGATATTTAAATATGTACATACAGTTTTTATTTTTAAACTGCTTACTTTGTATTATCAGGTTGCTTTCATTTTTTTTTTCCTTAAAAATAAAATTTTGAAAGTTTATAAAAATTTAAAGATGATCACATTTCTCTTTGAGTATTTTCTTGTTAAAGAGTTTTAAAAATATAATTTTTTCCATTCTTAAAAATTACAAATAACTCTAGTAGTTAAAATATCCTACTTTCTTTCTCTCAAAAATCTACACATAAAAATTAAAATACATGTATCTATAATATACCAAAATAATCATATAGATACCATGTAGATAATCATAAAGTCATACATACATTGCGTAAACTCATGTTTGTTTTCTATGTTTAATTATTTATATGTTATCTCAAGTGCTATAAATAGATTTTTGTCGAATTTTACCCAGCGTATACATTTAATACCAGTGGCTCATACTATTTTTTATAAATAAAATATATAATATTGAACTGTAGCTTTGTTTTTCTTTATTTAGATGATTTTTAAAAATATTTCATTATCTTAACACACATGAGTTTAGCCAGTTGATCTACCTGTTATCTGGCAATTATTTTAAAGCTTATTTCAGCTGTTTGCCAGATTTTTATAAGAAGTTGAAGTTAAACCCTTTTGTTTTTAAAAAGCAATCTGAAAACCACCCACGACCAAACAATGATCAGTAGGTGAAGATGATGCTGGCTATAAAACGTGGAGCAGTTATATTTTTAATGTTAACAAAACACAGGACAACAATTTGCAATAGATGTTGTGTTAGTCTTGGTGCTTCTGTTTTTTTTTCTGAAAACTCTTAGATAGGTTTTTATTGTTTATATATAAATGCATCTAAATCAGCTATGCTGTTTAATCCTTCAAATTTCTACATGACATAAAAAAATGGATTAAGTTTTTATTTCTTGATTTTAAAAGGAAGTCTTTATTTTGCATGGTCTTTGAACACATGTCCCCAGTAGCTGAAAGAAAGAAAAATTGGGTGGGCCTTAATTTGGTAGCCTAAAAGTTTATATATATATATATATATATATATATATATATATATATATATATATATATATAATATTTATTTATGCATAAACTTATAAAGGTATTTTTTATTTTTCCAAAATGTGTGGGTAAGCCACCATTCATCTCATATGTAGGCCTACACCTCTCCACCCCATACATCCCATAAGTACACCTATGCACCCCATAAGTACACCTATCTATTCCATGCACCCCATAAATACACCTATACACCCCACAAGTACACCTAACCACCCCATGCACCCCATAAGTACACCTAACCACCCCATAAGTACACCTAACCACCCCATAAGTACACCTATGCACCCCATACACCCCATAAGTACACCTAACCACCCCGTAAGTACACCTATCCATTCCATCTTCAATATGTAGACCTTACTTACGTATCAAACTCAAGTTCCGTAACCAAGCCATCACCGTTGGTGTCCATCAAAGGGAAGAAAGTCACGTAATCTTGTTGGTTGAGTTGTCCGTCCTTGTTCGTGTCGTACCAGTTAAACATGGGCTCTACGATATGGGAGTGATGGGGCATGATGACGTTGTTGTAGTCCATGTATTCGTGCTTCGTCACGTTGCCGTCGTTGTTCAAGTCGTACACCTGCGTGTTGGAGGTAAAACAAATTCTGATTATTTAACGTGCATCAAGGTGAAGTATGAATAAATACCCAACAATCAAATACGTAAGTCAGTATTAAATTGATATCAACCGGTTATTACTGCGATCTCGAAGACCTTGAAATTTAAAAATAATTTACGGTGAATATATAACTGCATGATTCGTCGAATTAGGAATACAGTAAGAAATGTGAAATTTCGGGTTTCGTAGTTTTCGGTTACTGTCGGTTTCGAATTTCGTCATGTTTTTTTTTCTTTACGAAAACGTTGCTGGTCTCGGATTTCGTTGGTACGTTACTTGACATTTCACCTACATGTAACATGACTGCAGATATTTCAAAAACATGTAATATAGACACCAGAGTAAATTTTATAGTATTGAATGAAACTCGGATAATGATTGAAACCTGTGAAAGAAATAAACATCAATCTTTCCCTGTTAGTGCCCAAAACACGTGGGGCAGATGAAGTAGAGGTAATCTTTTTCAATGCTCTCGGCACATGAAGGGATAGTATGTTCAGCACTATGCCCAGCCGCCTTTATTTCCCTAACTGTGTGAGCTCAGGACGTCCTGCGATCACGAGTCCTAACCAAGATCCGAATTCGAGACCTTTGGGCTAGCAGTCAAACGCTCCACCCAGTGGCGTCGTTGCAGCACTTCATGGTGTCACCCCCCCCCCCCCCTCCTTTTCACATACCAAAGGAAAAAAGAGAGTATATATATATATATATATATATATATATATATATATATATATATATATATATATATATATATATATATATATATATATATATATATATATATATATATATATATATATATATATATATATATATATATGTGTGTGTGTGTGTGTGAGAGAGAGAAAGAGAGAGTGTGTTTGTATGTATGTATAGTCGAAACGCTCAATGTGTACTTATAAGACTTTTTAACTCTAATTATTCATTTACTGAACAGGCAAAAAGCAATTTTCTTCTATATATTTTGCAATTTTTTGTCTTGCTGTCATCCCCCTAAATGGTGTCACCCGGTGCGGTCCGCACCCCCCGCCTCGCGACGCCTCTGGCTCCACCATTCGACCACACCGCAGCAAAAATAAACATCAACTATTTCAAAATCTAAACTTTCAATGAGGTTCTCCCTACAGTCTACTCTAGCCCGTAATCGTATTCAAAACTTTCAAGTTACAATGCATGCGCTGTACCACGCCCAATGTAGCGCTCACTACAACACGATGTTTATCATGTATGTCTAGGGGGTCGTCCATAATCACACTCGTAGGGGGGAGGGGATCCGTAATTTTCTGACGGTGTGTGGTGAAAAGGGGGGGGGGGGGATTCAGATGCTCTGACGTCCCTTTTTTGCATTATAAAAAAAAGCAATGTTAGAAAACGAGTTTTAGCCGTTATTTCGCGTTTTAGAAAACGGTTTTAATAAATTGTAACAGGAATTGATCAAAATACTCTATGTTGACAGAGTTCTGATAAGATTTCGGAAAAATATCGATGTTTTAAGAAAAATTCAACAGCAATTTTGAGTGGGGGGGAGGTAGGCTGAGGTGTGACGTCATTTTAGCGGGGGGGAGGGGGGTCTGGCTTTTTGTGATAACGTGTGACGGAGGGGATGGGGGAGGTAAAAATCTTCAAAAAAAGCGTGACGTTATTTATGGATGACCCCTGGAGCCAGAACGAAAGTCTCGCCTCGAGTTTATGTTTAAAAAGAAATCTTACTTTGAAACTTTGGTAAAATTCATTCCTGTCCAAAATGCCGTCCCGGTTGACGTCTGCCTCGATGAAGACCATGTCGAGATGGTGGCTGTGTTCAGACGGAAGTCTTCGTTGCCAGGCAACGACGGCCAGGAAAAGAGAAGCGAACAGCACTGCTTTGTTCGCTGAAGCCATTTTTAAAATCTACAATAACACATGGGCACACATGAATTTATTAACATGGAAGCACTGCTTTCTAATAAGGATAAAGTTATATAAATATAACAGGGATACAGCTATATAACAGGGATACAGATATGTAATATGGATAAAGCTTTTGACTATGGATACAGCTTTATAAAATTTGCACAACTATTTACTATAAATACAGCTATATAAAATGGATAGTTTTGTGACATGGATATAGCTATATACAGCTATATACCATTAAAGTGAAGTTCATTTTTCGAACCTAACGAGCCATGGGGCAAATGAAGTAGAGTTCACCTGCTTCTGCGATCTCGGCATATGAAGGGATAGTGTGGTCAGCACTGTGTCCAGCCGCCTTTACTGTTCCTAACGCGAGTGGGGTACCAATGACAGCTGATTTGACTCAGGGAGGGTCTACTGACTTCTACGTGATTCGAACTCGAGACTTTCGGTTTAGCAGTCTATATTTTACATGTATGTTAGCAATATAGTGATATATCGCTTGGCCACGCTGTAACCATTGCTATATACTATTGATACATCTTTATAACACGAAAACAGCTATATGACATGACTACAGTTATAATTATCACGTGGATACAGCTATATAACAAGGAAAGATAAATGTGAACTGGACACACAGACTTATAACATATACACAATTTTACTCCCTAAAACAGCAATGAAGCTGGAGAAAAAATGATATAGTATTTATACAAGAAAATATTCAAAGCCAGTTATTCGAGAATAAGGCGTCAGTTCTAGAAATACTTTAAAATATGAAGAGCTGACTGCCTAATGAAATGTTAAACTACATTGTAGTGATCCCAAGAGACTGTGAGAAAACTTAGGAACTAGTGTGATTGGGGTACGGATAGAAAATTTCAAAAGCGAGAAGCTCGACAATTTTTCACCTACCTAAAAGTGTGTTCCACTTAAAATGAACTCGAACTTATCAGAGAAGAAATTGTATGGGTTTAAAAAAAAAATGAGCAACAAAGTTTAGAAATTGACGGTGTAAAGTTTGAACCAATCAGATAAGCTTATTTTATCACGAGCAGGTCAAGGTAAAATTGTCTGCGTTAAAGAAGGTCTTAATAAAATGCTGAGAGTGCACAATGACTGCAGGTGATAAAAATAACGATAAAAATAACCGATTCAGAAAAAAATGTGGGAGAGGGGTGGGGGGGGGGGCGGCGTTAGCCCAACACACACACACATAATTTCCTTAACATGACGTCACCCAACACTACGACACCTCCTCTTAAAAAAGTAATATAAATTTCCAAAACATGAGAGTCGTTTCCCCTTAAAATTGTTTCTAGCCAATATAATGGCGTAAATACATAGATCTATTTATAGTCAATGTGTTAGGGATCATCCATTAATGACGTCACGCTTTTTTGGACGATTTTTACCTCCTCCCCTCCCCTCCGTTGAATTTGTTGAATTGCTGTTGAATTTTTTTAAAACATCGATATTTTTCCAAAATCTTGTCTGAACTCTGTCAACATAGAGTATTTTGATCCATTCCTATTACAATTTATTAAAAGTTTTCTAAAACGCGAAATAACGACTAAAATTCGTTTTCTAACATTACTTTTTGTTAATGCACAAATGTGACGTCCCACCATCTGAACCCTCCTTTCCCCCCCCCCCCCCATCACACACCGTCACAAAATTACGGACCCCCTCCCCCTTACGAGTGTGACGTCATTTATGGACGACCCCTTGGCTAGCTTAGTTGGTTTTTCCGTGACTGCACTATTTAACGCAATTTTCAAATCCTGGTCAAGTTTAGGTCCATTGATCGACATGTTACAGTTTGCAAAAAGGTCACAAAATTACTTAACTGCTAAAATTATGAGTAAAAATGCCAAGAATGTCACGACAAACTTCCTTGAACGTTTCCATCCCTCATTGTCACTAGTCCGTCCCCCGGGAGTTTGCTGTTTTTTTTTTTTACAGATTTACCTCCGGACTTTTCATATACTGATCATCATGCAAAGGCTGGTCACTGGTGGGGGGGGGGGGGTGAGTTCTTTCAAGTATCTCTTCGGGACCTTCTCTTCCCTTTCCCCCCCCCCCCCCCCCCCCCACCCCCCGTACAAAAAAGAATTTTATTTAGGAAATATATACTTTTACTAGTGTCTGCGACCCCTCCCATGGAAAATTGTGCCCGCCCCCCAAAAAATCACCTACACTCCTAGAATACATCACCTACACTCCCGGACCGTATCACCTACACTCCCAGACCGTATCATCTACACTCCCAGACAGTATCCACCTACGCTCCCGTACACAACGTATCACCTACACTCCGAGACCGTATCACCTACACTCCCAGACAGAACGTGTCACCTACATTCCGAGACAGAACGTGTCACCTACACATCAAACAGACCGTATCACCTACACATCAAACAGAACGTATCACCTACACTCCCAAACAGATTGTATCACCTACACACCCAGACCGTAACACCTACACATCAAACAGACCGTATCACACACAATCCCAGGCAAACCGTATCTCCTTCACTCCTTGACTTTTTATATTATATAAAAAATGTATATATATATATATATATATATATATATATATATATATATATATATATATATATATATGTATATATATATATATGTATATATATAACATATATATATATATATATATTATATATATATATATATATATATATATATATATATATATATATATATATATATATATATATATATATTAATGTTATTATATAATATATATATGTAATATAATATATTAGTTATATCTATATATATAATTCTCTTCTTGGAGATCATATAAAACACCAAGCTATAAAGCGCGCCTTGCAGTCCCCTCTCTTCCTCTCTAGGCATATCGCAACCACCCCCACCCCCACATGGTCTGGTGAGCTGAGGTTCACGCTAAATGTTTACTATCGTAGAGCCTGGTTTATTGACGCCTATTAGGGGCAGATAGTTTAGTTTGAAACTATTTTAAACTTAGGGGGGGGGGGAATAACTAAGAGGAGGGGGGTTGGGAGAAAGGAGGGTTTTAGTGTTTTAAAGCAAATATTTTCAGTGACAGCATTGGTACTTTCGAATTCACAAATTATGAATTACTGAAAAATAGAAAATAAACAAATAATTTTCAGACACAATTAGAATTTTTGTAAAAGTTGATACATTTTAAAATCTTTTTTTGATGAACAAGCCGATAATTATCGCTTTGAGTTTGAAAAATGAAAATTGTTTTACAGCACCTTCAATATTGTTTTTTTTTTAATCATTAATTTAGATGATAAGGGGACGGCGTGGTCGAGTCGGTAAAGCTCATGGCTGCTAAACCGGAAAGTCTCGACTTCGAACCCTCGGGCAGATGTGGCTCGTTAGCTGGGGACAGCCACTCTTCTAGGAGAGACAACTCCAAAATTAAACAACTGCTGCCTTGTAGTTTGTTCTTGGTTGGACAAAGGCTATGGAAGCAAATCCAAAAAGAAAAGCAGGCTGAAATCGGAGTCAATGGCCTCAATGGCGCATAACTAGTTGACACGTAACGCTTAATTGTGTTGGTGGTGTGGTCGAGTCGGCAAAAAAGCTCATGGTTGATAAATTCGAACAAAAAAGCCTCGAGTTCAAACCCACTGGCAGATAAATCTCGATCCCCTTCAACACTAATAATTAAGAACGAAGAAGAAGAAGAAGGAGATGATAAGCACTTTAGATATTTAACACTATAACGATGAAGTCTTTTTATTTTCTTTTATATCTTTGTAATTTGCTGTCTGCTACATAGTCTACATACATACAGAATTGAACTTTGTATATAAGATTATAGATCAACTTATAGTATAAGTCTTATACTTAATACTTATTTTATAAATTTTCTATGCTAACTACGTGATTCTCTGTAAGATCTTTAGATTTTGATAGTATTAAGTATTAAGTTTATATAAATAAGAATAATCTAGATCTAGACTATCTAGTATTTTTATGTTTAATACATTATTAAACTAATGTTACATCTTAATAATGTGAGCATAACATTCATAAAAAAAAATAAGCCAACTATAATGAAAAGGGATACAAACGAATTTTTAAATCCTAAATCGAACTGAAAATATTCCCCTGTTCGCCATTTTGTTTAACTTGATCACCTGGTCCGTATTTATCGTGGATAACAAATGTTATGACTTTCATCGTTTTACTCTCCCTGGCCACTTCAGTTCAGTTCAAGGTAGGGTTGAGGGCGGTTTTATTAAATATTTAATTTGATATAATTATTCAAAATTATTTTCAACGGCTTATGGTCAATACAAAGATATGAAAATGAGTGTAATCGATGGTTCCCAAACGGCTTTAATTTTTTTAAATGTAGCTATAATTTTATCGATTGCCATATTTTAATTTTTTTTTTAAATTTAGTATGATTACACAGACTTTTCCTACCTACTGTGCAATGCTCCATAACAAGGGGTTACTAATCTTAATATGTTGCTCCAAATTTAACAGTTAATTCCCTTACATCAATTTCTTTCGACTTCAAGAAAAATATAAGAAAGAGATCTCCACACATACTTCTTTTTACATAATAAATTCGAGATTCCCTTTACTACTTCTAAATGAAAGCGGAAACCATACCACAACAGCATAGTTTTGTAAAAGACAATCTTGACCAAATTGGTTTGTTTTGATGTGGTCAGATAGTTATTTAGGCCCTACAGATGATTTGTTGTTGTAATGAGTGACATTAAAAAAAATCGCTTTTGTTCTATTTATGTAAAGACTTTATCCATAAGTACTTTTTCATATATTTATGGGTAATATGTACGACTTTGTTTAAGTATAATGTAAAAACAAATATGTAAAATACAATAACACACCTCAGAGATAGGAGTTGTGTAGTTAACTATATACTATATTGATTTCACTTTACTTCACTCGAATAAAAAACTCATCGGAGCTATTGATGCACCTCCTCATTAAATAGAATTGGAAATAAAACTTCAGTCAAGGAGAATTACTCAATATATTTCCTGCAACTTGATATACACTGCCAGATTACACTATCGCGACAAAACATTCTAACATTGTATGTTTGATTTTCTACAATTGAATGTTTTACATAAATTATTTGCCCAGATTATGTTATAACAAATATACAAATCATGCAAACATTTAAAAAAAAAATTTACACCAGGAAATGATGACTCCGAAATCTGATAGTAAATTGATTAATTGCGTCTTGAAATCAAGATGTAAGACCTGGACAGTACATTGTGAAGATGTTGCCCATGTATCAGGTCCCCTCTCCATACAGCTGATATTCCCAATGGAATATGTAAAAATAAAATATTTATTTTGGTAAACAGGTTCATCTTCTCACTAGGGAAGGCAGGGCGAATAGGCGTCGTTATGCTGATGTGTTCTCGTAGTTGTTTCTCTCCAAGCTAGACAGTAGACAGTAGACAGTAATGTTTCCTTTAGACATTTTTTTCTGTAGTATAACTTGAAGTTTTTCGCATGTATGCACAAAGAACAGATGTATTTTTGTGTTTAACATGTCAGAGGTTATGTTGTGGGGGTCAGAGTTCACCTAACCAAGTCTTTGAGCACTGAGTGCGATTCACGCTGGGCAGTGTCTCCTGGTCGAAGTGGTAGCACGTCTGACTCTGCTTGAGGGATTAGGCGATTAGTTAGGCTCTCGGAACCCGTCAAGACAGGAAGCTCTGTATTCATAATAACACTATTCATGTATGATATTTTTACTATTATTAAAGTAATATAGTTCCAAACCAAAATCCGATGGAAATAAGGTAGGCAGAGTTTCTTCCAAGCATCTCTTTAGGGGGGCTCCCCCCCCCCCCCCTGAAGAAAGTCTACCGCCCACCCGAACGATATGGAATTTATATAGTAAAAATATACTTTTACTAGTGTCCGCCCACCCCCCCCCCCCCCCCCCGAAAATATCAAGCCCCCCCCCCCCCCCCCCCCCCGGAGAAAAAGTCTGGAAGAAACACTGAAGACAGGCCTAAAATTAAAACTACACAACTCTAATACTGTTTTCTTATTCAAGTACATACGCATCTAAAAAGTACATTTCAGTAAAAGGTTAAATCAGTCCAGAGGAGATTAATCAAAACAGTTTACGTCACAGAAGCAATCAGCAGTCGTTTTTAAAAATTGACCATCTGTCCCTTTCGCTGGCGTATAATCGTTAACACCCGGTGGAGAAGAGATAAAAAGTGTAACATCAGACCAGTGGAGCTTTAGTACCTCTCAACTCTGCTGTGACGAGTAAGTAAATGTTGATGTTCGGTTCTCATAAGTCTTCTATACCTAGGATAAGACAACAAAATAAATCACAATGATAATTTAACATCATCAAAATAAGGTTGATTCAAAATATGAAACAATTCAATACGTGTTAGTTAATAAAACATTGTATATATAATGTATAATTATGGTGCACGCAATATTGGTAAATCATTCAAATAAATTAAAAGCATTATTAACGCGTTTTTTTTATTTGAAGAGATTATTTTTACATTTACATTTGGGTACGTTTCTTTTACTTTAGTTTTCAATAATAATGACGTTTATTTAATACGTTTAATACAGTGCATCAAAAGTCTCCCCGTATACATTTAGTATTTTAAAGTTAACACAGATGTTTTTGATTAAGTTTCAAACCCTTTCAGAATTATTTATAAAAAGGACGATAATCCAAAACAGCTTTCTCCGTTCAATTAATTAATTAATTAATTATGCCCTAAATAAATATAATAAACAAGCCAGTAATTATTATCTATTATCATTATGTATAATTTATAAATAAGGTAATTTGCTCGCATACTGTCATCCCAGATGTATAGGGATGAAAATGGTCAAAGTGTAGAGCCCAAATACATGTTCATTTTCTTATTATTAATTCATGTAAAATCCTGTTATTACAAAAGTACGTAAAATTGCTATTTCAAAACTTTTAAAATGAATGTATATGGAACTGCGTGACCTAACCGGTAGAGCGCTACGCTTCTAACTTTAATTCTTGAATCCGAATCCAGGTTCAACGTCCATGAGTCTACCCAGCTCTAACGGGTACCTAATTCATTTTAGTGAAAGTAAAGGCGGGTGACCAAAGTGCTGACCACAATATCCCTTCACATGCAGAGGTCAAGTAAAATATGAACTCTACTTCATCTGCCCAATGGATCGTTTCGTCTAAAGAAGATTTTTTTTTTAAAAACAAGAATGTATGTTGAAGCTCTAAAAGTAAAATATATCGTGCCACATAATATAATTTCCACAGACGTGAGCCTGCCAAGACTCAAACATGTCCATCCTATACGCACTCCTGGTCTGCCTACCAGCCTTGACATTGGCGCAGCAATTCCACATCTACCCTTACGACCAAAATGCAGCAACAGGATTCAGCCATGCTGATTTCAACCATGATGGCGTCTTCGACAGAAGCGAACTAGACCATATTTTCAGGGTAATTTTAAAATTTATTTTCCGATAGCAATTTCAAAAACATTAATTTATAAAATGCCTTTTCAAAAGCAGGTTATTAATTTAACATCATATTGAGGGAAATATAACAATACTCGGATTGTTACTTTTAATACTTTTCTTCTTTTGTGTTATTGCATTACAGGTCCCTATATACTATAATATAATTTTATCATCATTTTCATCATTATTCACGTGTACCCTTTCTGGAGACTAGGGACGCAACCACACCTTTTCATAGTGCTCAGTTTTTGGTGATTTCCCTACTGTGGGTCTATCACATGCCGGCTGTTTCTGCTTCACTTATAACTGATCTTTGCCAAGTTTGTTTTACCTACCTACATTATCCTTTCCAATATAATGCCTGTATAGCAATATTGTTTATTTGTTTTCTTAAAATGTATCAAATCCATCCACATTTTGCTTTTGTATTTCTTTGCCTATTTAATTTTGCACTGTTTTTCCCCCATAGCTCGGTGTTTTGTTATTTATCTCAGGCAACTTGATGTTTCATTTGCATTCGATTAAGAAATTTTGAAATTTATTGATATTAGTTTGTTTTACTTTCCATAAAGGAGAACATAAGTCACAGCACTTTAGAAGTTCAGGGTGTGTGGTGAAGGTTGAATGTGTATATGACCTTGCTGATTGGTCCATTATTTACCTCAGGACATGGACACTAACCAAGACGGGTCTAATGTTTTACCTAATGTGTCCATTATTTACCTCGGGACACCAACCACAACGGTTCTAATGTTTACCTAATAGGTCAATTAATTTTCATCAGGACATCGACGCCAACCGCGATGGCTCCGTCTCCTTCCGCGAGTACAGCGATAGCGTCAACTACCACGGCCACGACGCCCACACCACCCACGTCCTTCACGCCATGTTCGACGCCTATGACGTCAACAACGATGACGTGGTCAACCATCACGATTTCGACCTGTTCTTTTCACTGGCTGACAATAACGGAGACAACCTTCTAGAAAGAAACGAGTTCATTCAGTACGTTCTCAATCACCACACTTTACAGCCCTCTCCGACAGTGCTCCTTCAATATATATATATATATATATATATATATATATATATATATATATATATATATATATATATATATATATATATATATATATATATATATATATAATTTGATCTATCTAACCGTATACACACACACACATATATATATATATATATATATATATATATATATATATATATATATATATATATATGTATGTATGTATGTATGTATGTATATAAATAATTTGATCTATCTAACCATATATATATATATATATATATATATATATATATATATATTTATATATATATATATATATATATATATATATATATATATATATATATTGTATATATTTATATATATATACGGTTAGATAGTTTAAATTGTATTTCATAATAATGAAAAGTACTCTACAATTTATTTAGCTATGTCGCCACCATTTTCGAGATTGCAGACAACGCTTAATCTTTGCTGAGCAGGACAAGTCAAGTAAGCCATGTAAAACCAAGTAAAATTCACCGTGTCTACGGATGTAGTTATAATGATGTTAACAAGTAATTAAAATATTTTCAAACAATTGTTTTCTTTTTTTTTTTTGTACCAAAACATTGTTTACAAATAACACATATTATTGTTACCAGCCAGGGGGGGGGGATAAATAATAAAGTGTAATTTATTGGGTTGTCGTCTTTTCATGCTCTTCGGTGAGCGAATTTTAACTGTGTTCTATGTCAAGTGACATGGGATTATGGGTAGTTCGTGTCTGTGGCTGTGTCAGTCAGACCCAAGTCTGCTGTGGACACGAAGGGTGATGTTTCCTATAGGTAGATCATGCAGACCTAATGAAGGGCTACAGTTGCTGTGTTCTACACTGTTTTTGTGTGTTCTAATGTCCTCTACAGTATATTTCGTCATCAGTAGTTTGTCTACATTTTTCTATTTTGTTTCTACTGTTCTACTGTGCTGCATCGCCGTTTATGGCTTGATGTTAGTGTCAATAAAGCCAGTAGTTGACAGCACCAGCGTCGTTTTATTGTGTGCTTTATCTCAGGGTCAGCCCTTTTAAACACAACACCTCAGTGGGTAATAAGCATCCCCATTGAGTGAGTGTTACACAAAATTAATGTAATACTTCAGTTTTCATTATCTGTAAATCACACCTTTCTGTGTTTGTTGTTTTTTTTTTTCTATGCGGTAGACAAAAAACCAGTTTAAAATATTTTATGGCTATATACATTATAAACAACGAGCTGACCCGCGACGTAGGATACGCCGCTATTTAGTTTAATTCCTATTTTTCAGTAATTCAAAATTTGTGAATTCGACACTACCAATGCTGCGACTGAAAATGTTTTGCTTTAAAAGACTATCAGTAGCTTGTTAAGGACGATTATCCTCCCCCTCCTCCCCCCCCCCCCCCCCCCCCCGCCTTGTGAAAGCAGCCGTCCGTGACGACAGTTTACAGACGACAATGAAAAAATCAATCATAACTTATATCCCCCCTTAGTTTCAAATTGTTTAAAAACTGATTTATCTGTCCCTAATAACTGCCACTTCTATTGTAAACATTAGTGGTCAAACACAGCTCACCTGACAGGTGAGAATGAGGGTGGTGGCTAAGCTGCGTGGTGTTTTCTATGGTCTCCATGGAGAGAATTATATATGTAGATGTTATATTGAATTTGAATAAAACGAAACGCTAGATCATCACACTTTTAAATCCCGAAATATTCCATTTACAAGGCTAAAAAATCTCAAAACACTCCAGATCACCTTTGAGAGTCATCACCTTAATACATCTTACGGGTCGGCGTGGTCGAGTCGGTAAAGCTCATGGTTGCTAAACCGAAAACTCTCGAGTTCGAACCCCCGGGCAGATGAGGCTCGTTAGCTGGGGACAGCCACTCTTCTAGGAGAGACAACTCCAAAATTAAACAACTGCTGCCTTGTAGTTTGTTCTTGGTTGGACAAAGGCTATGGAAGCAAATCCAAAAAGAAAAGCAGGCTGAAATCGGAGTCAATGGCCTCAATGGCGCATAACCAGTTGACACGTAACACTTAATTGTGTTGGAGGCGTGGTCGAGTCGGCAAAAAGCTCATGATTGATATATTTGAACAAAGTCTCGAGTTCAAAACGCACTGGCAGATAATTCTCGATCCCCTTCAACACTAATAATTAAGAACGAAGAAGAAGAAGAATACATCTTTATTAAAAACTTCTGCCTTAAAACATACAATATTTTCTTTGGGGTGGGGGGTAGGGGCTTGGTCAAGAAAAAAACACATTGACATTGTATGGCGGGGAAGACGGCCGAGTGGTGGAAAACGGATGTGCGGACTTTTGATCACAGGTGCTTTGACCATAGGGGGTTTGACCACAGGTGTTTTCTCAGCACAGGGTCTTTGATCACAGGCGGTTTGTCAACGGGTGTTTGATCACAAGTGCTGTGTCCGGCTTTGATCACTGGTGTTTTGTCCACATAGGTTTTTTTATCTCAGGTGGTTTGTCCAATGCTATCCATATATGGTAAGGATTTATTTTAAAAATTGCTAAATTATATTTTAAATTGCGACATGATGCAATAATATGTTAAATCATCATGTATAAATACAAGTCATCTAAACCACTCTATGAGAAGCGATACCAGATGCTGCACGAAAAAGTACAACGTCCTGTCCAGACATATGGTCAAACAGATGTACTGACATATTTGCGTGCTATAGCCCATCTGTCATTTAGTTAACCATTTAAAGTATTACTTCTTTGACTATATTGTTGGCAAGTTTTTTATCATTTTTTATCCTTTATATATGTTATGTATTTTCAAGTACATCTACATTATTTATTTGTGAAACTTGTTATATGTCGAATTATTTGTTCTTGACTTTTTTAAATACATGTTAATTTCTATTGACTTACTCTCATGAAACATGTATAAAATTGTATCATAAATTTAAGTTAAATAACAGTTTATAATTTATTTTTAAAAATCTATATATTATGTTTAACCCCCCTCTGTGGTCAAAGCCCCTATGGTCGAACCCCCTATGGTTAAAGCCCGTCTGTGGTCAAAGCCCCGCTGCGGACAAACCACCTATGGCCAAAGCCCATCTGTGGTCAAACCCCCTATGGACAAAGCCCCTATGGCCAAACAAAGCTCCGCTGTGGTCAAACCACCTATGGTCAAACCCCCTATGGTCAAAGCCCCTATGGCCAAACAAAGCTCCGTTGTTGTCAAACCCCCTATGGTCAAACCCCCATATGGTCAAAGCACCTATGGTCAAACACCTAGGACCGGAAAACGAATCCTTTTCCCTCGCTCGTTCAAGATAAAGTAATGTCATTTTATCTCAGGCGCCTCGACTTTCACGGCGTTCGGAAAGGCTAAGACACTGCAAGTTGGTGGGTTGTCAGAGCTGAGATGAAATGCTAGAGTTTCAGACATGACACGCTAAACGAAGCATGGCGGAATATAAGACTTTATTCAACTTACAACGAAATACGAGTGTTGGTCAGAGTGCTAAAGTCTATAAGACTCACCATTCTTAAAAGACCATGTATGATTGTGTGAATCCTCGCTGGGCTGGCAGTAGATTCTTGCCGTGGCCGGAAAAAAATCCACGAGGGAGCAGCGTCAAGACGTCTGTCTCATATCAGATATTGTAGTCTCAGCCTTAGTGGATGGGAGTGACTAGAGTAGCAACAGTCATTGCGTGGCCTAAGCGTGAGCAACTCGGTCAGTAAGGCTCTTTAGGAAAATGTATAATTTTTATTTCCATCATTAAATTGAAATGTTTCTCGCCGCGCAACACTTCGAACATCAAATTTTTATCAATTTTTATGCTCTACATGCCTCAGATGCTGATCTCGAGTTCGTATAAAATCATGAACATCCAAACCAAACAAGCTCTTGTAATATACTAGATGACCCTTGTTATCCCTTAGATAACGAACTATCGTTAGTAAGTCAAACAAAAACACTTTCTCACTCGAGAAATGCCCCATATCATCACATAACAATATCAGCACATTCCTCTCACAAGATGAGTAAGGTACACACGGGCGATTCCGCTCCCTGCTTATTTTATAATGGTTAAGAAATAGTGTATTACCACTACCACAATATGGTATAGGGTATATACTTGCACATGATAAATTTATACGATGGTTAAAAAATAGAGAGAGAATTTACAAAAAACAATAAATTAGTTTTTAGATGTTTTACTTTATTTACGAAAATAAAACAAAATGGGACGATTCCACAACATAAATTTTGTAAAAAAAAAAAAGCTAATTTGAAAATTCTGGAAAACTTTTTTAGAGCAGACACTCTTCATCACTGGAAGAAAAGAATGCCCATTTACCCATTTAGGACTTTTCACCCTTGTCTTATATATATATATATATATATATATATATATATATATATATATATATATATATATATATATATATATATATATATATATATATATATATATATATATATATATATGTGTGTGTGTGTCTTTGAGTGTGTGTGTGTGAGTGTGTGTGTTGTGTTTTTTTTTGTTAGGATGAGGGTGAGTGTGACAGACGATATTCCCTACTTGAGAAACTGCCTTCAGGTATTGACAAAAGTGTTGTAAGCGAAAGGGCCATGGCTTGTGTTAATGATAAAATAATTCTCAACTAATTTACTACCCCAAGTATGATATGCTACAGAATGATACGTTTCAATAATGCATTGAACAAAACGACTCCCGAAAATATAATTAGGCCTTCTTACAACAGGGTTTTCGACAATTGTGCAATGCTCCATAGCAAGGGATACTAATCTTAATATGTTGCTCCAAATTTAACAGTTATTTCCCTTACTTCGATTTCTTTCGATTTCAAGAAAAAATTTAAGACTCCACACATACTTCTTTTTACATAATAAATTCGCGATTCCGTTTACTATTTCTTAATGAAAGCGGTAACCATACAACAACATCATAGTTTTGTAAAAGTCAACCTTGACCAAATTGTTTTGTTTTAACGTGGTCAGATATAGGCCCTACCAATTATTTGTTGTTGTAATGAGTGAAATTTTTAAAAAATCGCTTTTGTTCTATTTATGTAAAGACTTTATCCATAAGTATTTTTTATATATATTTATGGCTAATATGTACGACTTTGTATAATGTAAAAAAAAGTAAAATACAGTAACATGCCTCAGATATCCTTTCATAGGAGTTGTGTGGTTAACTTTATACACCATTGAGTACACTTTTCTTCACTCGAATAAAAAAAAAACTCATCGGAGCTATTGATGCACCTGTTCATTAAATAGAAGTGGAAAGAAAAATTCAGTCAAGGAGAATTACTCAATATATTTCCTGCAACTTGATATACACTGCCAGATTACACTATCGCGACAAAACATTCTAACATTGTATGTTGGATTTTCTACAAGGGAATGTTTTACATAAATTATTTGCCCAGATTATGTTATAACAAATATACAAATCATGCAAACATTTAAAAAATATTTTACACCAGGAAATGATGACTCCTAAATCTGATAGTCAATTGATTAATTGCGACTTGAAATC